TAAATTCATACCTAATCTTACTGACATGTTTTCAAAGTAAGTCAGAAATGAATTTGGGTTTCAGAAACAGTGCTTCTCACTGATGAAACTCAAATGCCCGCACGATGTTTGCAGCAATCCTATTGGAAGGTGGATGTCATATAACCATTGATAAAATTCCATAGCTTTGGGATTAAAAAAGGCATAGAGAAAAAAAAGAAATCCTAAGCGATAATGTGGATAATGTGATGGAGAGATTATGCATTTAGGATCCAGAAAAGCTTGAATGTGAAACCTAGCTGCATGATGTTTAGCTATATGACATTTTGATAAGTTGATTTTTTTGAAACCTTAGTTTCCTCATTTAAAAAAAATTACGACAATACTACCTCTTTCACAAGGCTAGTATGAGATGTGACTGAGACAGGTCCATAAAGCTACCAATACAGTTGCCGAAACTTTACAGATGTTGAGAAAACGTACTTTCCGGAAAATAGCATTCTGTTCACACATCTGTAGGTGAATCAGTAACACTGGTTTTTAATGTTGCTACTTGGGCCTGTGACTTTTTTGTTTTTGTTTTTTAAGAAATAGTCTACCCTAACCGGTTTGGCTCAGTGGATAGAACGTTGGCCTGAGGACTGAAGGGTCCCAGGTTTGATTCCAGTCAAGGGCATGTATGTACCTTGGTTGTGGGCACATTCCCAGTAGGAGGTTGCAGGAGGCAGCTGAATCGATGTTTCTCTCTCATCAATGTTTCTAACTCTCGATCCCTCTGCCTCTCCCTTCCTCTATGTAAAACATCAATAAAATATATTTTTTTTTAAAAAAAGAAATAGTCTAGTGTTTATCTATCCAACCACCTCCCTCCCTCCTTTGTTTTTAGTACACCCCCCCCCCCCGCCCCCGTAAGTGTCAAGCAATGTGGGCTGAATGAGTGCGAGTACTTGGCTACTCTGCCAGCTTCGTAAGGGACAGGATACACTTTAATGAAAGGTTACCACAAAGTAGCTGGCTGGTGCGAGTGACAAGGAGAGGGAGAGGGTGAGGAAGGAAAAGAGGAAGAAGAGTAAAAGGCAGATTTTCATGGTCAGTTTAGAATACCATCGTCCCTGTTCTCTGATCAATTTGATATATGAGCAAAATGGAGTGAAACCCCGAACAGTGAACAGAATCCACCCCGTTACCACAGTGGTTCTCTAACTAGCATGCAGAATTACCAGAGAAATTGTTAAAGCACAGAGTGCCAGGCCTCAGCCCCCAGTGTCTGGTTCAGTGGGTCTGGGTGGGCCTGGGAACCTGCATTTCTGACCGTTTCCAGGTGACTCTGATGCTGCTGGTTCAGGACCGCACTTTGAGAACCACTGGTTTGCCACAGCGCAGAATCCACAGTGCAGCTGTGGGAAAGAACTGGAATCATAATGAGAAAAGAAACCTAGGCTCTGGTCCTGATCTTCTCCCACGTATTCACCGCGTGGCAGCGAAGGTCACACCTGTCACGCCTCCATTTGCTCACCTGTAGAGAGGAGCAATGTCTGTCTACCAATGAGGTCACATGGGGGTCAAAAGAAGAAATAGGTCCATTAAAACTTTGAAAACTTAGAAAATGCTCTGTAAAAACAAAGTATCATGACCAACAATTCCAAATAGCCTATGAGAGTTCATGTGAGTTATCAACTTTCTGCATCAGGGTGCCCAGATTTCTGGCCAAGTATTCATGGCTGTGTCTGGAAGGGTGTTTCTGGGCGATACTAGCATTTGAATCTGTGGACTCAGTAGACTGCCCTCTCCAGAACAGGTGGGCATCAGCCAATTGCTTGAGGGCCTGAATAAAACAAAAAGGCAGAGGAATAGGAATTCAAATTCATCCTCCCTCCCAACCCCCCTTTTTTTCCCCTAGCTCGCTGCTTGAGCTGGGTCCTCTCATCTCCTCATCTCTCTTGCCCTCAGACTGGGACTCACACCACTGGCTCCCCTGGCTCCCTGGCCTGTGGACTCAGACTGATGACACCACCAGCTTTCCTGGGTCTCCAGCCTGCAGACAGCAGATAGTGGGCCTTCTCAGCCTCCATAATAGCAAGAGCTGATGCTCATAATAAATCTCCTTTTTGTCCCGTTGGTCCCGTCTCTCTCGATAACTCTAATATAAACAGAATTACTTAAAATATTTTCTGAAGATCAGAAGTGACAGTCCTTCCTAGTTTCTAGTCTGGGTTCTGCCACTACCTACCCTGCACACACACTTGACCTTTTGTGGGGGCCATAGTTTTACATCTAGCAGAGGGTTCAGAGATAAGATGATTTATCAGGTGTTTCCAATTTAAAAATGCTATGGTGCTATGATCAGGACATGACCAGGAATGGGGGCTCAGGTGGCAGGTCTGTCAGTAGAGGGAACACCCTCTCTCCCCTCCCAGAACTGAGGGCAACCTGTTTGCATGGATCACCCAGCAGTAACCCCAGGGTCAAAGGATTGTCCACATTTCAGTAAAGACCAATCACAGAATCCAAGTGTAGGAAATGGACCTCTGTGATCCATCTCCAGCATGGTTGGCTTTTGATGGAATTTGCTGAATTTCCCCGGCAAGCAGAATGTAGGGAGGAGGGAAGAGGACATAGGAACAAAGAACTGTGGGCGTGGGCCAGAATCATGGTGAAAACCCCCAAGGTGCCTGCCCCAGCTGGACAGGGGAAGGTGGAGGCAGCTAGAAAGGCCTCAGCCAAATTTTTTAAATGGCCCAATGGGAGACAGCAATTCCTAGGTGACCTATGAGGAAACAGGTGGCCCCATAGTACTCAGCCAATGAGGAACCAGATAAGGGACTGAATAAATAGGCTTGTTCGCTGCCCCACATTCTGCTCTCGAGAACATATTAAAGTCTCGTTTCGCCATATTTCTGTCTCCAAGACTGTTATCTGAATTGGAACAGGTGAGCATTTCTCACACAAATGTGCTGTGGGCCCTGCTGGCCTTCAGTATGAGCTCTTAAACATTCCAAAACCAAGCTCCATATTGGCTGTCATAAGCAAAAACAGTAAACCTGTCATCTCGAGAAAGGCACTACCAGAGCCCTAGGCCACCCACTCAGTTGATAAATGCTTGAGATTCTGTCTCTATAATGTCTGCTGCACAGTGTTCCTCCCCACACACCCCGCTGCCACTGTGTATCATTGTCACAGTTGAGCTCAGGCCCTCACATCTCACACAGGGACATCTACAACACCTCCTAATTGGACTCTACTCCTCACCATCTTCACCAGCATAAGCTGCCAAAGGAGCTTCCTAAAGCATGACTCTCATTACATCACTCGCCTGCTCAGAATCCTTTGATGGTGCCCTCATCCCACACTCTGAGCCAACCACCATTTCAACCCTTATTTTACATGCCCCTCCGTGGCTCCATCCCCACAGTGAAGCCCCCAAACTATGCTGGCTCCCCAAATATGTCCTGTGCTTTCTGGTTCCCAGCCTTGGCTCACTCTTTTCTTTCTACCTTTCATCCTTGCCTGGTGAAATCCTGCCAATTCTCCTCCTAAATCTTTTACCTCTAACCCCCCAAAATGGGACACCTGATATTTTATGGGATTTACAGTGTGACTTGAATTACAGACATTCCTATCGTTTTCTGAGGTCAGGGAGGGAGCCTAACTCACCTGTGTCCTCTCTATCTGGGGGTTAGGCCACTGACTGTCCCGATATAGAATGTGACGTTGTACTGTGAACTGGCTTGTACAGACTGGCAAATGGTACAATTATGTCAGCACAATAAAAGAAGTGTCAGTTGTGGATGAAAAGAGGCCACATGCTAACCTGACTAACTCAGGGAAGGCCTGTGTGGCGGCCTTGTAAACTCAGTGACCTAAAGTAACCACAAAGGATGGTCTGAAATTAAAACCTTTCATCAAAAGCCATTTATAATGGTTAGTCACGCCCTAGGGCCAGTATCTTCCCTGACAAAGGTCAACTCAATCTTTACTGAGCCTATTGTCTTTTTGTATCTAAGATAACATAGCTGTGGAATGTCAGGGTAACTTGTTTTTTTTTTTCCTCAGTTTTTTTTTTTAAATTTCAAGAAAAACGATTTTAAATATAATAATGTTACATGCAAACCTTAATACCTCAAAAAAAGATCCTAAATATAATAATGTTACATGCAATAAACATTAATATCTCAAAAAAACCATTTTAATTATGATGTTACATGCAATAAACACCAATTATTCAAGAAAAATGATCTTACATATACTAGTGTACTATGCACTATACATAAATATTTCAAGAACAAAAGGATTTTAAGTTTAATAATATTACCAAAACTGTACTAACATAGTATATCACAAAAGTTGTAAGAAATATTAAAAATCTGCAAATAACAGGATTACTTCAAATGGGTTTTGAGTGATTTGCTCATCACCTATTTTCCCCACAGTCCCTGTTGTTTTTAAAAAGCTGTGGACGAAAAGGGCCACATGCTGACCTGACAAGCTCAGGGAAGGCCTGCATGGCAGTCTGCAAACTCAAAGACCTAAGTAACCACAAAGGAGGGTCTGAAATTAAACTTTAACTAAAAGCAGCTAAGGTGGGTAGTCACATCCTGGTAGTATCTTCCCTGATAAGGTCAATCTTCACCTTAACTGAACCTATTGTCTTTTTGCACCTAAGATAACATATCATTGAAATGTCAGGATAACTTGTAACTTCCCTTTTTTCCGGATCCCTCAGGACACAACCATATGCCCTGGGCGTCAGGACAGATACCACAAATTCCTTCATTGTTATTGTTATCATGGTAATTGTTGACTCTTAACTATCCTGTACCTACCTAAGTAAAAGAAGTGTCTATGATTTTACTTTTTATTCAATCCCAGAGGTTAATCTACCACCAATGGATTTCATGTAACCCACTTACATCTCCTCCTTGGATTGTAATGCATAAAACAAGGTGAAAAACCGCCATTCCGGAGCTGCTTCCCGGCAATTGTCGACAGTTTGGCTCAAATAAACTCACAACAATTCTTTACAGGTTTGAATGTTTTTACATTAACAAGGTGATTTCACAGAACATGAGGAAGGAATGTGTGCGCTGTTCAGGAATGTGAAATCTGTACTGTTACATAAAGGCCTAGACTAGTCTCAACCAAGGACAGAAGTCAGCCTGCTGGTCAGAAAGGGAATGATTACTGATTGTGAAGTCCCTCTGGGCAATTCCTTTGAATGTCAATTGTTCAAGCCAGCTCTGGTCTAACTGCAACTCAGACAGGCTGGGGAAGGACAGCCTGCCCTGAGCAGACACTGTAAGCGACTTGTGGTTTTCCTGGAGAGCTGAGCCCTGGAGAGTGCTAGAGCCAGAGGTCGCTGGGCTCCTGAAGAGAAAGAGGACATCTAAGGGAAAGGGCACAGAAAGGGGAGAAGGAAAAAAAAGATAAAAAGAGAGGTGGGAGTCAACATTTACAGTGTCTGCTATGAACCAAGTATATTGTCTGTTATATCAATATTTACATGCAAAAACCTTTCCATGCGAGGCTTTATCCTCAATTGACATGAAAAGAAAGTCAGGCTCCGTGGTTTCAGGATTTGCCTAAGGTAACTAACAGGCTGATCTGAGCTCCAGATACTGGCTTTTCACTGCAACAGTGGCTTCCCAACAAGTACCAAGGGCCCAGCCTCCCTGAGAGCCCTGCAATGAGTGGAGGGTGTGGGCAGGTGAGAAGCTAAGGAGACTGTGCCTTCCACCCCACCCCAATCACCTTTATTCCTTTTACATCTTGGGCTTCCTCTGATGCTTCTATTTAAGGTAAGTGGCTGACAGTTTTAAAAGGGAGGGGAAAAGGTTCGAAAATCACTGCATCACAGCTAGCTGGCTATTTCCCAATTCCGCCTGAGGCTGGCCTTCAGCGGAAAAATAAATCAGTGCTTACAAAAGATCTACTCTCTACAGAACGCCGCTGTGGGGTCCCCAACTCCCGGCTCTAATCATTCCAACGCTGTCTAAAAAGGCTCACCTTGTGTCAACCCTCTGGCTCATTTGCTTATCTCTCCCCCTTTCCAGACATTCCAGCAGCTCAGGAGCCTGTGGAGGTGCAGGCACTTGGGGAGCAGAGCCTCAGGTCTGCAGCCCATGCTCTGGGGAGGAGCGGTGGAGTCCCAGGAGCTGTGAACTTGAAGCAGGACACCCGGGCCCGGTCCTGGTGCTCCCTGAAAGGGCACCACCTCCCCACTCCTGGCCACTGCCTCACTACCAGGAGTGGCTGGACAAGACCAGCAATTTTCAACCCGTGTGCAGCAGTCAGGGGCACGGACCTCTTTTCCCTTAGATTGTTAAATAAAGAAAGGACAATAGCCAATACAACTATAGCCGTCTGCTGTGAATGAATCAAAATCATACCTATTTTTGTCAGGCCAGCAAAAATATATTTTTTGGTGTGCCGCAGAATTTGAGTAATTAGTTTATGTGTGCCATGAGATGAAAGTCACTGGACTAGACAGTCTTTCATGTTCTTTCTGATTGTCAAGAGGCTATACAGAAAAAGAGAAAAAGAGTGTATTTCTGCAGTGAGGGGGAGATGTACTAAGAGTGAGTTTGTAGTAAGCCAGAGCTAACGGGTGTAAAGCACATGCCTACGACACATGCAGAGGCAAGCAGACCTCCAGGCAAATTATTTCTCTAAAAGCCATGAGAACTGAAGAACAGATGGGAGGGAAAGACCGTATGAATGCTGATATAGCTTACGCTTATAGCTTACAGAATGGAACAGGGTACATCTTTCACTCTCCTGAAAAGAACAACTAACAACACTTAGGTAATTGTAGATCTTCCCAAAGGACCTTTGGAAGTCCTGAGGTGAGGCTCTGTGTTGCAGGGAATGGGTGCCTGTGCAAGTTTCTTTAAAGTGGTTACACAGAAAATAACAGGCACTGGATTTATAGCCAGTCTCTGGGCAATGAATGATTTGTCACCTTCTCCTTCTGGTATTGATTCTTGCCTCAGACCCACTATGGATGACTGCTGATGAAAATGCCAACCTCCCGGTGACTACTGGCTGGGTTTGCAACCCTCCTCCAGCATCCTGCCCGGCTCTCTCTGCAAAGGCCCCACCCACCTCAGAGCAGCTCAGCTGGCTTCATCTGCACACATCTGGAGGTGCCTACAGGCAGTCCTCGGGTTACCCGGGACTCGACATACGTCGTTTCGTGGTTACGTCGCCATCTCCCATTTATTTATATATATAAAAAAAGAAAAGTTCCGTCATTTTGACGTATGCACATATGTGCTTTATGTTTTTTATTATTTATTTGCCACAAGTAAAGGTCAGGAATTGTTATCTTTCTTTTAATTTTTTTTTACTGTTTCACTTCATTACTGCTGTGTATGTGCTCCATGTGAGTGACGTAGGTGCTTATGTAGGTGGGTTCCGACTTACAACGAAAATCACGTTAGGTCGCGCTGTAAGAACGGATCTCCGACGTACCCGAGGACCTACTGTACATCATGCAGCTTCACCACCTGTTTTCTATTCCCAGAAATCTATGCAAAACACACAGAAAACTCTGACATCCATCCTTCAAATAACACTGTACCTATCATTTATTAGAAAATGCTCTTGGATGCTGCTGCCTTCCAGATATTGCTAACGCTACTATCCAACCATTCCTGGCCTCTTAATAGCATAACCTATTTACTGAGCATCTACTGTGGTCCAAGGGTTTTGTATGAATTGTCTTTCATTTTCATGATGCCCCTGAGTACTGTGAAGAAATGGAGACTCTGAGGTTAAAAACTTGCCAAAGTTAAACAGTCTGTGGATCTGATCTTTGGACCCAGATACCTGACTCAAAAGACAGAGCTGACTTACAAACACTTCACACAGGTAAGTGGTGAAAACGGTCCATGTCTGCTTTCCCCCATTTCTCCCATCATCCCCACAACTTCACTCTCCCTGGGAGATGGCAATGTGACTGCAGCTTTTAAAGAGGAAATGAAAAAAAGCTGGCAAATACAGAGTAGACAAGGAGAACTGGACCTGGAGACATTTTCAGGCCTGAATCTTCTGTCTTTCCCCTTTCCTTGTGCCTGAAATTCTACCCATCAGGTTCATTTTCACAATTCAAAAAAAGATAACGGAAATCGCTTCTTGGGAGTTAAGGTTCTAATTTCCATTTCCTCCTTCGTATAAATGTGTTCAGTCACCAGGGGACATCCTATTCTCACCACAGTGGAGACCAGCTGCCCTGCCGGAATGGGAGGTTGGACTGATTTATAGATTAACAAAGGACCGCAGTGGGACATAGGAGTGCTCGGAGGTCCAGAGGACAGAGGTTAGAGGTTAGAGGACAGGCAGTGCCAAGGAGATGATATGTTAATTTCAAAAACGGTGCTCAGTTCTCTTCCTTCCTCCTATGTAGACTCCTACTCCCCAAACACAAGCTAATAAGACAAGTATTACAGTTGAGCTGCAAGTTGAGTTAAAGTGGCACCTGTGAACCTACAAATGATTCAGGATGTTTTACATGGAAATATGTGATCTGCTTCTAAGCAATCAAATATACAGGGTGGGGCAAAAGTAGACAGTTGTTAGTACACACAACAGAGTTTATTTTGTATTCTTATTTATTAATTATTGTATTATTTCCCACACAAACAACTATAAACCTAAATTTGCCCCACCCTATATATCCACGATATTCCTAAATGTGTGGCTATCAATAGACATTATTCACAGAAAGTCACAAGCTAATTATAAGAGCCACAAACAAGCTTAATAGTATTAATCCAAAGGAGAACGGGGTGTGGGAACCATGTTCATTCCTAATAGAAGTTGTTTCTAAACGTAGTTGAAGAGGAAAGCCTGAAGCACCCTGGAGAGTGACTTCTCGTGTTTCACTGTAATTTTTGGTTTCTCCCCAAAATGAGATTCAATAGAAAAGGTAATATAAGTTCATTTAAGACACCAATTTTGATTGACATTGTGGGACAGAATTCATTATTAAAATGGGATCGTATCATCTAACTTTATTACTCTCACGTCTTTTAAATATCTACCCAGAAGTTATCCCTAACAGATGTAACAGCAAATGTAAATGACTGGGCTTCCCAAACCATAAAGTTCAATACCAGAGTGACAGTGAGGGACCCTGCATGAGATCCAAAGGCATGGGGAGGCCCTAAACATTTAAAAGAGCTTGAGCTATTACTTTTGAGATGGTGAGTCTCTTTGTGGCCATAAGCAGGTCACATATCCTATATGGCTTTTGATTTTCTGTGTGCAAAATGGAAGGAAATAGTCTATGATGCAATTCACCTGTCTCAAAAGTGCACGGGTCCTTAAAACATCTAGTCTACCCGCTACACTCTGTAGATGAGAACACAATGCTAAAACCCACAAAGCTAGTGAGTGTCAGAGCCATGACTAGCTCAAGGTCTCCTAAGTCTTAACCCCCCAGTGCTCTGATAATCTGGGGTCTAAGAGCCAAGTGTCGGGGTGGCGGGATGAGCTATAAATGTACAAACATAAATCCTTTACGGGACAGCCTGGTCATTATATTAATGCCAGCAATCAGATGACATTCACTTTCTACAGTTTCCACTACAGATATGATAGAATATGAAAATATAATATGATCGAAGTCATCTGGACACCTTTATAAGCCAGTATAGTATTCACTCAAAGTTGAGTTTGCATTTTTATACATATTTTCACACTGAATATTCTGAGCTATAGTGGCTTATTTATAGATGGCTTTAGGCAAACACATTTTTTAAGCAAACACATTTAAAAGAAAGTCAAGATTACCTGTAAAGAAAATATGTTTAAACAGGTTTAATTCTAGTGAATGCCATACAAAAATGGATCCAATTTGCTTTAAAAACGCCGAGTAAACAAACATCTGAGAATCTCTGAAATGTCTGGCAGCTGGAGAATTCCTGAGTCTATCTACTCCCAACTCAACAAAGCACATTCTCCAAGATAAGTCCACTCTTCTGACTGAGAGCTGGACAGACAGGAAAAAGATTGCTGCTGGCTGGCTTGGGCACTAGGTACACATTTGCATAAGTAAAAGGTTAGTTTTAAAAGACCAGTCCTCATGCCAACCTGTCTTATTCAAATAAGATTTGTTTTTTAATAAAATTGACAGATCGAAAGGATGAGAAAACATAAAAATCTTGGAAATACTAGTTGGCTCCTATGCCAAAACATAACAAAAATACTACTAGGAAAAGGATATCGTGTGGACAGCCTAATAACCTTTGGGGCAAAAGACCATAAAAATCACTGCACCTCCTCCCTATGCTGGTATATGTTCAGTAGGAAGTTGTCTCTGTGAGAACTCTGTCAATGTAAGCAGCAATCTCTTGTGTTGGCACTATGTCCAGCTTTCCCAAGAGAACCCTGGACAGGACTAGGGTCAGATCATGGAGGGACTTCAATCCCAAAGGGAGAACTTGACATTCTTTAAGACTTGCCATCCATCTCCTCCCTTAGACTGCAAGCTCTCTGAAGACAGGAACAATGCTCCCAGTGCCTAAGGCCCTCGTTGTAAAAGTCTAAGGCTCATTGGCCGGATGAAGAAAGAAAAAATGACGAAAGAATGTTGGAAGGTGTAGTAAGACCTCAAATATTTTGGCAAAAAATTCACGTTACTTTTTTAAATGAGGAAAAGTTTAAAGTTGGGTTTTGTTAGGAAATAAGAGAGAAAGAGCAAGTATGAGAGAAAGCGGAAAGGAGGTGATGGCATAGGCTGAACTTTGAAAGAAGGTATCTGAGAATGTGGGTGGGATTCTAGAGCTGGTTCTGCCAATTATCTGACTTCTGAAAAAAAGAATGAACTTTTCTGAGCATCAGCTGCCTCATGTGTGAAATGATAAATATAGACACAAAATACCTTTCAGCTCTAACGATCTGATGAAACTAGCTGATGTTCATAAAGGTGTGCTTGGCTTCAATTGTGGTCTGCAGACTAAGGAGGAAATTATAAAATATCTTCTTAAAGTTTTCATTTTAAATTTTTAACCTTTTATAATGTCAGCACTTTGAGCGTTAGTCTTTTATCATCCCTTCTCCAAACATCATTCCTTCTCTCCGCACCAAGCACAGCCCGTGTTCTAGCACATTCTGCTCTACACAGAAAAGGTGCTCGACATCCTGGGAGGCGCACAGAGCACAGTCCATCTTCCTCCCAATCTTCACCTTCTTATTTGAAGGAGCAACTTAAAATGTGAAATCATTGAGGCACTTTCCTTGAGTATGTCTGACGTAGGGGTTCTCCTATGAGCTTTCATACTAGTGGGGGCTCCCTCCTAACATGTCCCTGATTCACTACTTACTTAACAGTCTCCCTATTAGAAAGTAAACCCTTGAGAGTAAGGGTCTGGTGGTGTTCTGGCCTATTCCCTATTTTATTTCTACTTCCTAGCACAGAGTCTGGCACAGAGTAAGCATCCAAAACGCTTACTGAATGAATGAGGAGATGAATGGGAAAACGGAGGTCTGGATCAATGTGTGTGAGGAGAAAGGGGCATGCAATTCGTTGCAGGCACAAGTCAAGAAATGGAGCCAGGAAGAGACCTCAGAAATCACCTGGTCCAACCCCTACCCCCCTACCCCCCATTATCCAGAAACCAAGGAATCTTGGCATAGTGCCCCATGACATATAAAAGAATGTTTCAGGAAACATATAAAAGAATATTAGGAAAAGCAAACATTCTCTCTAATAGATGAAGATAGCGGCCCACATAATCCGCAAGTGGAACTTAAACTGTTCACAGTGTTGATTTTATTTGGCCTTCATTAGTGCTTCAAATGTGTCCACCTATTACCTAGGGTGTCAAGTCTGCCATCACCCAGGCTCAATTAGTTAGCATGTAGATAAGGAGTCTCCCTGTCTCTCTCCCGCCTGTGTTTCTGCAGCCTCGCAGTGCTCATTAGCACCTCCAACAGAAGGCTGAGGAAATGAAACTCCAATTTGTCAATGTCAACTGTTGAATCAGCAAGTTGTATCAGTCCCACCCCCACATGGAAGTGTTTGGACAATTCTGAATCACAAGATGCTGGCAGCTGTGTTCCTCCGGTTGGTTCAGTAATTGCATTGTTTCCTACTGTGCTCTGCGGGCTGTGAAATGAATTTATTAAATAACCTACACAAAGGAAAGGAGGTGTGGGCCAATGGAAACAGCTCCGGGCTAGGTATTGGGAGACTGTTTTTAAAGGCTCACTTTGACCACTAGCCTTGACTCCAGTTTTTCAGTCCTCAGGCTCCAAGCTATTTAAGAGGATAATAATTCTGTCCCGGGCAATAGAGAAATCTCTGGCACCTAAACCTGTGTGCTTCCCCTGCCATATAGCGCTTTAACGTTTATCCAGTTCTCTACACATTGGAACCTAGCATGCTTACTTTCAGCCTAAATTATGCCCTTTGAGTACGAGGGCATGACATAAACTTGCACCCAGTGCCTGACAGGATGCAGTAGAATCTGTGAGTCTCACTGGCCACTTCACATTAGAAGACAACGGTTAGGAAAGCAAAACTGAGCCCAGGCACAAGTGGTGTGTAATGAAGGGATTTCAATACACGGTATAGAAACCAATTCTATTGTCTTTGGTAAGTTTGCCAATTGATATTTGCCAGGTGTCTTGGATTATTAAAACTAGCTAATGTTTTGTAAATACAGGCTTCTACTGGCTATGTGATGGAGTAAGAAATATTTTCAAGGGAAAATGGAAGAAAACTTACTTGGTTAAGTTTCATAAAATCCACCCGATTTCAGTTAGTGTTAAACTGGCCTCTAAATCTCAGAAGGCAGACAGGGTTTGAGATTACAGAGCGTGTCCCCAGAGTCGCCTGCTGGGGGGCAGTGGGGAGTCTCCCTGGCTCTCTGGGTTAGCTGGGCCCGAAGTAGCACAAGTTCTCTTGGATCCGTGGGGTATTTTTTTTTTCTGGAAAAGGAGAGAGGAGGCTGAGTGAAGATGTGATTGGAGAGGACACCATCTCTTCAACCTGGAGTATGGCACTCACTCAGGACTCTAATTTTGGCTTCAATTGTTTTTCCATTCTTTCCTTAGAAGCAAAAAATATAAAAATAATAAAATAAATGAACAAAACTGAAACAAGGCTCTCTCTCTCATTATGAGACAGAATTTCAATTCTTACAACCTCCCCAACCGATTACTTTATAGATTCAGGTCCACAATCATTTACTGAACTATACACACAGCCCAAGGCCCTGGCTGGCTTCCTCTCTGACGGATTCCTCAGCCTGGGCTTGATGGCTCCACAGCGGAGATAATGACTGTTAAGGTGTAGATGAGGCATGTGAAGTGCAGCCCAGCGCTGAACATCCCAGAGAAGTCTATCTTAGGTGAGCTAAGTGCTCTATTTCCCAATCTCTGTTTTGAACCTCACAAAAACCCTGGGAGGCAGGAACTGTCACTGTCTTACAGAGAAGTTAAGCGGCTACATAAGGACTCGAAGTCAGATAGTAAAAGATTTGGAAACTACAAGCAGGTCTGGTGCACCTTAACTCTAGCCTGCTTTCTGAGACAAGAAGTTGATGTCATTTTGTTCTTTCTAAACTGGGTGGCAGTGTCCAACAAGGCACTCTTCTGAATAAATTAATGGTAGTGTTTTGCCTTTATTCCTCTTCTCAAAAGAAAGGAGACTGGAATATGGACATAGATGTTCCTTACTGGAGTTTTTTGTTCTTCGGATTCTGGCTGACTGCAAATTTACTTTATTTTCTAATTAGACGCCCACTAGCCAACTGCAGGTCAACAGTGTGATGAGCAGTACAGCGCAGTGAGTTTTAAAAAGTCACCCACAAAGCCGCACTGAGATGGAGGATCAGTCCTATCTGGGATGTGAGGTGGACCAAGGCAGGAGGTCAAGGTTTCGGCTCCCTTCTGCCTCAGGACTGGGGCCAAACCTGTACTCCGGACTCACACCTACTGTAGCAGGTCACTTCCCGATCTGGAAAATGGTGGGTTTGAACTCGTTGATACATATTTTAAAGTCCTGATTTTTTACTTACATACAATAAAATTCACCCTTTTAAAGATACAGTTTGAGTTTGACAAAGGAACACAGTTGTATAACTACAGCCACAAGTAAGGCAAAGAAGATTTCCAACACCCCAAAATGTTCTCATGCCCTTTTGCCTACGCAGGTCCCAGGCACCCTCTGTTCTGATTTCTGACACCTATAATTTTTCTGTTTTCTGAACAGCATAAAAATAAAAGAGTATGTAACATTTCATGACTGGTGTCTTTCACTTAGCATGATACTTTTAAGGTTCATCCATGTCGCTGAATTCATCAAATTAATAGCTTGCCATTTCTTATTGCGGAACAGTATCCCATTGTATCAGTGTGACACAATTTGCTTATCTACTCACTAACTGGGTTGTTGCTAGTTCTTTGGCTAATATGAATAACTGTTATCAACATTTGTACACAGGCCTTTGTGTGTGAACATAAATTCCTTTTTTTTTTCCAGTTAAATACTCAGGAGTACCGCAGCTGTGCCATTTGTTAAGTGTGTGATATGTGTTTAACTTTCTTATAAATTGCCACACTGTTTCCCAAAGTGGCTGTATAATTTTGCATTCCCAGCCGCGATAGTGGGAACATCCCACTGGTTGATATTTAATGGGGAGGCTCAGATAATAACTAATTCCTGTCAATGTCACATTAATGTGTAGGCTCTTCCGGAGCAAAGGCCCCATGAAATGCATCTCCGTCCCCTCCGCCAGCAGGACGACAGATACAAAGTAAGTGCCTGCACTCCATGTTGAGAGAGCCCCCCGCCCCCGTCCCCCCAGATTTGATTGTCTCATTATTCTCTTTTCCCTTCTCTGGACAGCTTGCTTGGTACACACTAAATACAGTGGGGCCTTGACTTACGAGTTTAATTCGTTCCGTGACGGAGCTCGTAACTCAAATTACTCGTATGTCAAATCACGAGTGATGCTGGGCTGATGTTGTGGCATTCACTGTGATGTTCGCCGTGCCAACTAGCGGTGGGGTATCTGAAGCTGGCTCATAACCCGAATTTTAGCTCGCAACTCAAAGCAAAAAATCTGCCGAGAGACGGCTTGTTATTTCGAAAAACTCGTTAGTCGGGACACTCGTAAGTCAAGGCCCCACTGTACCAGCTTTAGGTTACAACTGTTTGAGATGGACTGCAAAACTACCACCTACTAGTTGTGTAAGGTAAGTGCTTTCCCTCTCACAGACTTGGCTTCCTCCTCTGCAAATTGGAAGTAATGATGTCCTTACTCTCAGGTTGTTGGAGGGTAAACGATGCATGTATCCGCTTGGCATGTAGTACCTATTCAGTAAACAGCCCTTTTAGCTTCTACAGTTGTAGACTGGCGTGGCTGAGAAAGAAGCGGGAGGTGATCAATTTGATCCCCTTCCCAAGGGCCCTAACAACCACTAGAATGAGCAAATGAAGTTCCCTGTGTTCCACAGCGGAGACCTCACCTTGTTTTCCAGCTAATTTCACAGGGTTCAGGAGTCCCCGCTCAGCACATATTATGTTGCTGTATTCATTGTTCTATTTATTTGTAATGTGTACATTATGTGTGTGTGTTGCAGAGAAAAAGAGAAAATAACAAAAAGGACTTAGTTTCTTTCGTGTGTACCTTACAGTCCAATATGTCCCTCTCTTAATTGGTGTGAAGGAAGACACAGGGCAGGGGCAGAAGAAAGGCAGTGCCAGGGCCAGCCCTCTAGATCTCAGCCATGCAGCTTAAAGTGTGGCAGCATCTATGGGTTTGTGGGTTTAGAGTTCTGAGTGCTTGTGTGTGTGTGTGTGTGTGTGTGTGTGTGAGAGAGAGAGAGAGAGAGAGAGAGAGAGAGAGAGTGCATGTAAGAGGGGAAAAAGGAGAAAGGCAAGAAAGGCGGATGGGGAATCCACTGATGTCAATGAGCTCTGAATAATGCATTGACACGTTTCATTTTAAGCGCTGTTTGTGTTCCATCCCACCCCCACCCCCTGCAAGCTAATTACCTCCCCATTTTGAGCACCCAGCTGTTGCTGTCTGAAACCTGACCTTCCCTGTGAAGAGGCTGCCAGCTGCAGCGGCTGCCTGCCTAATAATGCATGGACTCTTCTCTGCTATAACCTCTTTTTCCCTTAACCAACTAGTGAAGTAGGCTGGGCTCCCTAGTTCCTTCTCCCCAAACCAGTTCTCTCTCTGCCACAATAAAAGGGGGAGGCAAGTACCCCTTGAGGAGAGAGAACTTGGTTGCAGTGCAGCTCTGCAGAGTGTGCTGCTGGAGGCCTGCTGCCTCTGTTCATTTTGTTGCTCCAAGTGTTGATCACTGACCAGAAGCAAGAGCATCATATGGGAGCTTGTGTCCTGACCTTAGACTGCATTGTGGACCTCCTGAATCAGAGTCTGGGAATTTGTGGGCACAATAAAGTTTCAAAAGTGTTAGAATGGGATAGAAATCCCAGACTTTGCATTCATGCATTTTAAGAACTTGGCCCTGCCTGGTGTGGATCAGTGGTTAGTGTTGGCACTTGCAATGAAGGGTCATGGGTTTGATTCCCGGTCAAGGGCACATATCTGGGTTGCAGGTTCCATCCTGGCCCAGTCGGGGCGCATGTGAGAGGCAACCCATTAACGTGTCTCTTTCCCATTGATGTTTTTCTCCCTCTCCTTCTCCTTCTCCCTCTTTCTCTCCCTTCCTCTCTTTCCACCCTCCACCCCCCACCCTTCCATAATCTCTAAAATCAATGGGAAAAGTATCCTCAGGTGAGGACTAAAAAAAAAAAAAGAACTTGACCTAAGGGTATGAGATGGCCAAGCTCCAGATAAAACTGTATTGGAAAAGCAGTGTGGTGGGAAGGAAACAGCCAGCCCCCAATAATCCTCACTTTCTGATACTGGTGCCCTTGTACACTGAGTCAGGGTGGTCTATGTGGCAAATCAAATGTGTAGAAGTGATAATGTGAGGCTTCTCAAGTCTGGCCATAAAAGGTATTATATTTTTCTAATGATCACTGATATTGAGCACCTTTTCATATATCGATTGGCCATCTGTATGTCCTCTTCAGAGAAGCATCTATTCAGGTCCTCTGCCCATTTATTAATTGGATTGTTTGTTCTTTTGCTGTTGTAACCACAGTGGAATATCCTTACACCTGTCAGAATGGCTATCATCAATATTTCAACAAACAATAAGTGCTGGAGAAGGTATGGATAAAAGGGAACCCTCGTGCACCGTTGGTGAGATTGCAGATTGGTGCAGCCACTATGGATAACAGTATGGAAGTTCCTCAAAAAATGAGCTGTCTTATGACCCAGTGGTTCCACATCTGGGTGTATATTTCTGAAGAAACCCAAAACACTTATTAGGAAGGATATATGCACCCCTATATTCACTGCAGCATCTACACTAATAAAAGAGAAACATGCAAATTAACCATCACTCCGCCACTCCACTATACCCACAAGCCATGCCCAGGAGCGAGTATGCAAATTAACCCAACTAAGATGGCGGCAGCCACAGAGCTGGAGCGAGCAGGAGGCTTGTGTTGCCACCGGCGATGGAGGAAGCCAAGTTTCCCGCCTTCCCTGGCCGGCCCTGGGCTCCGCTCAAGGCTACAAAGTTTCAATTATAGAAGATAAATAAATCCCAGATACCTGCTTCCAGCCCAAAAGGAGAGGCTGGGAGCTTGGGTCACTGGGGGGCGTGGCCAGCCTGAAAACGGCCATCAGCCCCTCACCCAGGCTGGCCAGGCACCGCAGCAGGACCCCCCCCACCCTGAAGGGGGTTTGGCCAGCTTGAAAACAGCCCTCGGCCCTTCACCCAGGCTGGCCAGGCACCCCAGTGGGACCCCCCACCCTGATCCAGGATACCCTTCAGAGCAAACCAGCTGGCCCCCACCCGTGCACCAGGCCTCTATCCTATATAATAAAAGGGTAATATGCAAATTGACCCTAACAGCAGAACAATTGGGAATGACTGGTCACTATGACACACACTGACCACCAGGGGGCAGATGCTCAATGCAGGAACTGCCCTCTGGTGGTCAGTGCGCTCCC